TCCAGAAGTCAGGAACCAGATCTGCCATTTTACCATTGAAGAAATTGCAAAAGGAGGCCAAAAACCCGACACGGGTGTAGTGTCGACACATTATCAGGGTGTCGACACCATGCACTAAACGTCCAGAATCATATTCTGTTTTCTATTTTGTGTCAACACGTAATCCGAAGTGTCAGCACCACGCGATCAGCATCTAAAATTCAGTTTCCTATTTCTATTCAAAGTCCTACTTTTATTTCAATTAGGGTTTTTAAAATCCTATAAATACTCATTCAAATTCAGAATGAAGAGAGCTTTGGGAGGCTTGTGGCAGCCCTCTTTTGGGCATTCTTCGAGGTCAAGATAGAGGATTCAACAATAGGAAATCAAGAATTGCAATTTTCTCAAATTGGGTTTTATTCTTCCTTATTCATAATTATGATCGTAGATTTTATTCTTTTTATTATGAACTGATTTATTTTATTAAGGTTATGATGTAGCCTAATCAATTCAATATAGATTTTGTGATTTTATATTCTCAATTAAAGTTATTCGCATGAGGAGTTTATATTATTGAACTTAATGCATTGGAAGCCTGATAATCTTTCAATTGATTTAGTGATTTATGCATGAACTTGAGAAAAAATTGTGTAGATTAGACCAATAATAATATAAACCGTGTGCTAGACTATGAGACCGAGAGGTAATTAGCTCACATGTGGTAGTGGAGGAAGAGAAGAGAGTTAGTAGCTCCCCCTTCTTAAGCTAGAGGTTTCCATAGAATCTAATGCTCATTAGTTTGTTTAAAATTACATTAATTTAACAAACCAGTTAAAGATTAACTTGACTTGAGAAAGCTAGTTAATTAATTTAGGAAAATCCGCCATCACATGCAATAACACTCAACAATTTAGTAATCCAGAATTTATATTGATTGATTATGGTGAAGTCAATGCCTTAGTACCTCCTATCTTGATTAGGTTTATTTGTTATTTTCTTTTTATTGTTTTCAATTAAAGTTTCTTCCTATTTGATTGTTCAAATAAATTTAGATTAATTATTTTGGTACTTAATTAGACACAATCCTCGTGGGTTCGACACTCTATTCATCATTATATTACTTGGAGTGACTAGTACACTTGCTAGGGTGATTTTAGTGCATCATGCATCACCACAAGAAAGACATAATTTACGTGGTTCAGCTCCAATTTAATTGAGTTTACGTCCACAGTACTCACAAGGAAAAATTCACTATTAAAACAAGGAGATACAATTTGTGATACTCTTAGAAAAATACGCAATCCCCAAGTACATCCAAATCTTACTCACAGTATTTTTGAATGCGAGACACACTCAAAAAACACACTTAGCAAAGTAATTTTAACCACTCTGCTCTTGCTCACCCTCACCCAAAGCACTCACAAAACTCTTGTATTTTCTAGAGCTCACTTTGCTTTGGATTGCTCTCTTGGTTGCTTTGCCGAATGGCCAAATGGCTTTTATAGCCAAAAATCCACTGCCCAAAATTAATGAAATGGGCTGAAAGATCAAAATTCAACGATGCACAATAAATGCAATGGCCTTCAAAGTCTTAACCATTAATTTCATGGATACATGCAGAAGCAAAATCCATTTATGTCAAGATTTTCGGTTGCACCATCTTGCCAAATAACTACACTTTCAACTCTGCACTTTGCATGCATTTTCAACACCTTTTTTACTGCCACAAGATTTCTTATGCAGCCAAATTTCACAGGCTGAAATTTGCATGCTTTTTCAACCACCATGCAAAACCCACATGCAGCAACAATCTCCATCTTGGCGAGCATTCAAAAAATAAGATTCAGGACCAATAGCTTCATTCCCCTGGTGCCAATATGCCTCGAGGGGCATTAAGCACTTTGGACACTAATCAAGTCCAAGCAATACTTGAACTTGATTCCACTTACCGGCTTTGTCATCATATCCGCAGGATTCTCGTCAGTTGATATCTTTTCAACGAGCACATCTCCATTGGATACAACCTCTTGGACGAAGTGATATCGAACTTGAATGTGTTTGGTTCTCTCGTGGTACAGGGTGTTCTTCATCAAGTGAATGGCACTCTAACTATCACAAAACACCATTGTCTCATTTGGTTCTACCCCGAGATCACTGACCAAACCCGTCAACGATAATGCTTCCTTTACTGCCTCAGTAATTGCCATGTACTCTGCCTCAATTGTTGACAAGGCGACTGTTGATTGCATTGTAGCTTTCCAACTAATGGCGCACCCTGAGAGAGTAAAGACATCTTGTAGTTGATCTCCTTTTGTCCAAATCACCGGCAAAATCATAGTCGACGAATCTGGCTACATTTTCACTTGGATCAACACTCCGATCATAGACTAGTCCAACATCTACCATGCCTCGTAAATATCGGAGGATCCACTTCACAGCTTCCCAATGTCCTTTACCCAGATTAGCCATATACCGACTAATCACACTGCATGTGAAATATCAGGATGAGTACATACCATAGCATACATTAAGCTCCCAACAGCACTTGCATAAGGGACATGCTATATGCTTCTTTTCCTCCTCTGTTTTTGGTGACAAATTGAGGAAATCTTAAAATGTGCTCCCAAAGGAGTAGTCATAGCCTTAGCTTCAGCTCAAGTACTTTTTCAATGTACTTCTTTTGGAAGAGAAACAATTTACCTCCCTTGTGGTCCCTGTGAATCTCCATTCCTAATATCTTCTTAACTGCACCCAACTCTTTCATCTCAAACTTGTTGATGCGCTAAAATTACCCTAACAAGTGTACTAGTCGCTCCAAGCAATATAATGATAAGTAGAGTGTCAAACACACGAGAATTGTGGTTAACTAATTACCAAAGTAATTAATCTAAATTTATTTGAACAATCGAAAAGAAAAAAACTTTAATTAAAATTAATAAAAAGAAAATAACAATTAAAATAAAACTAATCAAGATATGAGGTACTAAGGCATTGACTTCACCATAATCAATTAATCTGGATTTTCAATTCTTATATTTTTAAGATATTACTATTCATATGATAGCGGGATTTCCTATCCTATTCGATGTACTTTCTCAAGTTATACCAAACCTATCTTAATTTATTAACTCACTATATCTTTATGTGAATTTAAATAGATAAAGATGCATTACATTCTGTGAAATTTCTTAGTTTGCGTAAAAAATTAAGTCCACTTATCACTAATGCTGCACGAATCACGTTGGTCCATCTTTAGCTTTCGTTCAATTTATGGTATATATTATTAGAAGATATTGCATAAAATCTCTTCTCGGTTGCAATTATGCTCTCCAAATCAATTTTAATAGTGATCAAGCATTAAAAAGCATTAAGAATAACAATATATACTCATCATGGCATAGTAATCTCAAAAGTGTAAAAATCATAAAAACCCATATTGAATTGGTTAGGCTACATTTTAGCCCTAGTTGATTAAATTAATTCATAATAAAAATAATAAAACTTGAAATTATAATTATGAACATTCAAATATCAAACAATAGATAAAAAGAATCTAAGGAAAAACAAAACCCAATTTGAGGGAATTAGACTTTTTGATCTTCTATTGTTAATAAAACCTCTATCTTGATCTTCAATAATGCCCAAAAGAGGGCTGTCACCAGCCTCCTAGAACTCTCTCAATTCTGAATTTAGATGGATATTTATAGGATTTTAAAAACTCTAGTTGGAATAGAAGTAGGACTTAGAACAGAATAGGAAAGCTGAATTTTGGACGCTGAATGCATGGTGCTGACACCTCAAATTACATGTTGACACAAAACAGGAAACAAAGAGCCTAATTTTGGATGCTGAATGCATGGTGTCGATACCCCTATTATGTGTCGACACTACACCCGCGTCGAGTTTCTGGTCTCTTTGCAATTTCTTCAACGATAGAATAGCAGATCTGGTCCTCCAACTTTTGTACAATGAGCAATTAGATCCCAAACCTCAAGATTCATTCATTTAAGTCCCAAAGAGGTGCCCTTCTTCTTGCAATTCAGTCCCTCAACTTTCAAAAGATGTTTAATTAATCCCACAAACTCCTATTTTTATGCATTCAAGTTCTTTTCTGCACAATGAATGAAAGCCATATAAAATCTCATAAAACTCATCTAAATATCAATAATATCAAGATAAAAATTTCACATTTTTTTAGCTCATCAAATCCCCCCAAACTTAAGTTTTACTCATCTTCGAGTAAAATAAAAAAACAAAAGAAACAAAAAGAAAATAAAATCTAACTCATTTTCATAGGAATCACAATTGCACTTAACATGTGTAACAAGCCTTTAAACCCCTAGGTCACCCTAGTGGATGAGTTGTGTCTCGTGAGGGTTTTAGTGGATCTACCCACAAAATCCCAGTGCAAGAATGCAACTATATGATATGCATGCAAAGAAAATTTAGGAAGTAAAGTTTAATTAGATACAAAGTCTCAAATATTCAAGAGTTTTCATATACTCACTTAAAGTCAAATACTCATCCTATTCTTCACACCACTTGTTAAAAGATTTAGCCTATGAGCACTTAGTGTCTATGTGGAAATTCTTAGTAAGAAGTCTCAAGTTTACCTTCACACCTTAGCACTTACTACTATTTTTTTCTATTTCTTCCCTCTTTTTTTTTTTTTTTTTTCATATGTCGAGTTTCCTTAGGCTTTCTAAGTTACCTATGTAACGAGCTTTTTGTCAATGACTCCCAAACTAGTTGGCTTTAGGGTATTAGGTGAAGAGACACCCCTAAGAACATACTTACTCAAGTAACAAAAGCCATGAAACATTCGACTTTTTTTTTTCTTTTTTTCAGCCATACAACACATTTTTCCCTAAGTTATTACTTGTTTTTTGACGCGAATACTAACATTTGTGATAAAAGCACCCAGTTACTCAACAAGTCATAAACTCAAAGTGCTTTGCATATTCATATTTCAAGTTGCCATTTGACGTGAAAGTTGACCTGGTTCTCATGCCTAACTCTCAGTTATTAAGCACTAGAAACATTGGAGTAGAAATTAACAAACTCTTTTGTATTGGCTTCTTTTTCTTTTTTTATTTTTTATTTTTTTTATTTTATGTGCTATTTAGGTGTTACTAAGTTTTCTCTCTAAACTTCTCACTACAAACTTGTGCTCAAGTAAAATAGAATACTCATAAACTTAAACTTCATCACAATTGTGTTATTTTTCAGATTTTGTATTTCCTCTAAGATTCAAAGATTTTAAAAGTTTTTAAATTTTCAACTCAAGAATATCCAATTCCTTGACACTAATTGGACCAACTCCTAATAAAAACCCTAATTTCTAAAAAAGAAAAAAAATTTATGTTATGCAAATATGAATGCAAACTAATGTAAGAATAGACTCCTAAAAGTTATTCTCTCCCCCAAACTTAAATCAAACATTGTACTCAATGTAAAATAAAAGTAAGAGAAAAGAGAAAGTTCCCAAGTTTTGCAGTTGAAGACTTAAAATTTAAGTTCTGAAGTTGAGTTGTCTTCGTTTAGAGGAGACTTCAAGTATGTAAATTTCCATAATCTCGTCCCTCAAACTTGTTCAATGACCTGGTCAAAATTAAAGAACAACAATTTATGTATTAACCTAGGCCATAAAGAGAAATAATAATACTAATAAAATCTAAACTATTAACATAAAAGACAAATAAATAAAAGAAAAGAAAAATTTTATGCTTGGATTACCTCCCAAGAAGCACTTAATTTATAGTCATTAACTAGACTTTCTATCACTCCAAGGTGGTTTACCTCCCAAGAAGCACTTAATTTATAGTCATTAACTAGACTTTCTATCACTCCAAGGTGGTTTTGGATCAGGTCATAGGGCATGTCCTCTCGTTTTCTTAAATCTTGGCTTTCTTGCCCTTAAGTTGAATCCACCATAAGATTTTCTCCAATGACTATTCTGAGGTGGTTTGGGTTTATGCCAAGAGATGTGCCTTCCCAATTCTTCTAGGAGTGCCCCCTTTGATTCCAAGGAAGATGATGTGTTCAAGCAATTTATGTATTCTTTGATTGGGTCCTTTACTTGAATAAGATAAATCTCAAATGGATCAACATAAGTGTTTTTCTGCAAAATCTCATCAACCATATCAATAACAAAATAATCATTAAAATCAGATTTGGTTAAAGGAGACTCCCCATTGAACACGTTAAATGACACTTGAGCTTTTTCCTCTTCTTCCTTAGGGACATCCTCTTATTTAGTTTCTATAGGCATAATTTCTACTTCTCCAAGTTGTCCTTCCATCTCCAAGGGTAAGGTGTTTACCTCTTCTTCTTGATTTTTCATTGTTGCACTAAGTAACTCACTTTGTATTTCTTTAGCAACTATGTTGAGCGAATAACTTGATTGAACCTCCAGATTTTTATCCAAACATGTCGCCTCTTCTTAAGCTTGAAACTTAGATTGTGGCTCCAATATATCTTCCTTATTCCATGAGGAGTTTGCATAATTTATCCAATCAAACTTGCATATATTGGGATAAGGATTATACTGTTAGCTATGAAAATCACAAGAAAAATCAACACACTTGTTAGATCGTTTAAAATAGCAATCAGAACTAAAATGGTCGTATCCACACCATTGGCAAGTGATATTTAATCGTTTTACTATAGCCTTCTTTAATTCTCACTTTTCAATGACTGCTTGAAATCGTTCAAGTTCATCATTGTCAATTTTTGCATCCCAATTAATAGTTATTGCTTCAACTTGTGCCCTTAATTCTAGAGCAAGACATTGATAATTCACATCAATGTCTATGACAATTCGATCCATAGTTAAACCTACAAAAACAAAGAAAATAGAAAAAATCAAAGTAAAGAAATAAAAAAAAAAAAACTTGATGCACTAAAATTACCCTAACAAGTGTACTAGTCGCTCTAAGTAATATAATGATAAGTAGAGTGTCGAACCCACGAGAATTATGATTAACTAATTACCAAAATAATTAATCCAAATTTATCTGAACAATCAAAAAGAAAGAAACTTTAATTAAAATTAATAAAAAGAAAATAACAATTAAAATAAAACTAATCAAGTTATGAGGTATTAAGGCATCGACTTCACCATAATCAATGAATATGGATTTTCAATTATTATATTTTAAAGATATTACTATTCATATGACAGCGGGATTTCATATCCTATTCGATATACTTTCTCAAGTTATTCCAAACCTATCTTAATCTATTAACTCACTATATCTTTATGTGAATTTAAATAGATAAAGATACGTTATGTTCTGTGAAATTCCCTAGTTTACATTGAAAATTAAGTCCACTTATCACTAATGCTGCACAAATCACATTGCTCCATCTATGGCTTTCGTTCAATTCATGGTATATTTTATTAGAAGCTATTGCATAAAATCTCTTCTCAGTCGTAATTATGCTTTCCAAATCAATTTTAATGGTGATCAAGCATTAAAAAGTATTAAGAACAATAATATATACTCATCATGGAATAGTAATCTCAAAAGTGAAAAAATCATAAAAACCCATATTGAATTGATTAGGCTACGTCTTAACCCTAATTGACTAAATTAGTTCATAATAAAAATAATAAAACTTGATATCATAATTATGAACATTCGAATATCAAACAATAGATAAAAAGAATCTAAGGAAAAACAAAATCCAATTTGAAAGAGTTAAACTCCTTGATCTTTTATTGTTGATGAAACTTCTATCTTGATCTTCAATAATGCCCAAAAGAGGGCTGCCACCAGCCTCCCAAAGCTCTTTCAATTATGAATTTAGATGAATATTTATAAGATTTTAAAAACCCTAGTTGGAATAGAACTAGGACTTAGAACAAAATAAGAAACTTGAATTTTGGACACTGAATGCATGGTGCTGACACCCCAAATTACGTATTGACACAAAATAGGAAACATATAGTCTAATTCTTGATGCTTAACACATGGTATCGACACCCCTATTATATGTTGACACTACACTCGCATTGAGTTTTTGGTCTCTCTGCAATTTCTTCAATGGTAGAATAGCAGATTTGGTCCTCCAACTATTGTACAATGAGCAATTAGATCGCAAAACTCAAGATTTATTCATTTAAGTCCCAAAGAGGCGCCCTTCTTGTTGCAATTCAGTCTCTCAACTTTCAAAAGATGTTTAATTAATCCCATAAACTCCTATTTTTATGCATTCAAGTTCTTTTCTGCACAATGAATGAAAGCCATCTAAAATCTCATAAAACTCATCCAAATATCAATAATATCAAGATAAAAATTTCACATTAATATATATAAATTTAGCTCATCACTCGTCACTAAGCTGCCTCTTCAAATCATCAATGATTAACGTGCTTTTGGCAACAATAAGCATGTCATCAACATACAACAACAAATAAACCCAAGAATCATCTCCAAGCCTTTTATGATAGACATAACTATCATAGTTGCTCCGAGTGAATCTACTCTTAACCATGAAGTTGTCAAATCGTTTGTACCACTGTCGAGGTGACTACTTCAATCCATATAAGGATTTCTGGAGCAAACAAACATGATCTTCTTTTCCTAAAACTATGAATCCCTCTGGCTGAGACATATAAATTCGTTCCTCCAACTCACCATGTAAGAAAGCAGTCTTTACATCAATTTGCTCCAACTCAAGATCAAATAAAGTAACCATGGCAAGTAAAACATGAATAGAGCTGTGTTTTACCACATGAGAGAATACCTCATGGAAATCAATACCCTCTCATTGTGTGAAACCCTTCACAACCAATCTAGCCTTGAATTTGGTGTCTCTACCCCTAGGATTCCTTTTTTTTCTCCTGAAGACCCATTTACATCCAACAATTCTTTGTCCCTTTGGTGGCTTCACAAGCTTCCATGTCTGGTTCTTATGTAGAGACTCAATCTCCCCTGTCATGGCAATAAGCTAATAAGGAGATTCTTTATTGGTAATTGGTTCCCGATAAGTGTTGGGATCCTCAGCCTCCACTGGTTCTGTAATTGATAGAGCATTCTTTATTGGTAATTGGTTCCCGATAAGTGTTGGGATCCTCAGCCTCCACTGGTTCTGTAATTGATAGAGCATAGGCAACATAATCTGTATAGCCATATCTTTGAGGTGGTTTGGTCTCCCTCCTCTATCTACCAGTAGCAATATTTTACTGTTGTTGTGTTTGTTAAGGTGCCTCCACCTCCATTGGAGCATCTGTTAGTTCTGGATCTTACACCACATCTAGATTCTCTTGGACAATATTGTCATCTCGCATTGCCTTTTCTAGAGTTGTTGCTTCAAACTCCACCTGCTTGCTAACTCATAGTTTGGCTTTGCAATTGTTGACTCCTTTTTTGCTTTTTAGAGCATAACAGACTCATCAAAGGTTACATCTCTGCTTATGAGAAACTGAGGTGACTTCTGAACACACCACAGTTTATGGCCTTTTACCCCGAAAGCGTACCCTAGAAATACGCATTTCACTGCCCTTGGCTCAAGCTTACCATCCTTAACATGAGCATACATAGGACAACCAAATATCCTTAACTGTGAATAATCAGCAGTAGAACCTGACCATAATTCTTCTGGAGTCTTTAATCCAATTGTTGTGGATGGAGATTGATTTACAAGATAGTTAACATGATTGACAACTTCTGCCCAAAAGTCCTTTGATAATCCAGCATTTGAAAGCATACACCGTGCCCTTTCCAAGAGTGTATGATTCATCCTTTCTGCAACATCGTTTTGCTATGGTGTCATCCTGACAGTGCGATGTCTCACAATTCCATTATTCTTGCAAAAAGTATCAAACTCACCACTGCAATACTCAAGACCATTTTCTGTTCTTAGGCATTTGATTTGTTTTCCACTTTGCTTCTCAATCAGCGTCTTCCATTGCTTAAAGGTGAGGAACACATCACTCTTACTTTTTAATTTGTATACCCATACCTTTTTTGAATAATCATCAATGAAGGTCAACATATACACAGCTCCACCTTTTGATGCAACAAGCAAGGGACCCCACAAGTCTGAGTGAATGTAATCAACTGTGCCTTGAGTTCGATGAACTCCTTTGCCAAATTGCAACCTACACTGCTTGCCATAAACAGAGTGCTCACAGAAGTCTAGCTTACCAATTTTCTAGCCACACAAAGGACCTCACTTACTCAGCTCAATCATCCCTCTTTCACTCATATGCCTAAGTCGCATATACCATAACCAAGTCACATCTTTATCTGGACTACTTGAAGTTGACACAGCACATGTGCCATTGGCTATGCTTCCTTGTGAGTGATAAAGACTACCAACTTTCTTCCCTTTCAATATTGCAAGAGCTCTTTTAGAGACTTTGAGAGCTCCACCTTCACAGGAGTATCGGTAACCCTTGGAGTCAAGCTCACTCATGGAAATGAGATTTTTCTTCAAACCCGGCACATGACGAACCTTGAATGTTCTAACTATCCCATCATACATCTTGATCTGGATGTTGCCAATTCCAACAATAGACAATGTTGTATCATCACCAAGAACCATCGTGCCAGTGGCTGGTTTATATGTTTCAAACCAGTCACGTTATGGGCATACATGGAATGAGCAACCCGAATGTAAAATCCATTCCTGACCGAAGGAGTTTGTAGAGACAGATAAAACACAATCTTCATCATCTAAATTATCACTACAATTGGCAATGTTAGCATCACCAGATTTTTCAGCTTTCTTCTCCTTGAGCTTGTGACAATTTTTCTTGAAATGTCCCATCTCACTACACTCGTAACAGCGAGCATGCTTGGCTCTCGGCTTGGATCTAGACTTTCCTCACTTGTTGAAAGTTCTATTACTTTGTCTACCTCTTATGACCAATCCTGCTGCTTGATCACCACTCTTGTCTTCGGACACCTTCTTTTTCAATTCTCCTGAATTCAGAGCCGCCTTGACATCTTCCATAGAGAGTTGATCTCTACTATGAAGATGAGTTTCAACAAAGTTGTCATAAGAGTTAGGCAACGAGCACAAAACAATAATTGCCTGGTCTTCATCTTCTATCTTCACATCGATATTCTTCAAGTCTAAAATGAGCTTGTTGAACTCATCAAGATGGTCTTTGATGGAACCACCTTCATTCATACTGAGGATGAACAACCGTTTCTTTAGATACAATCAGTTAGTGACTGATTTGGTTAAGTAAAGGGCTTCTAGCTTCGACCATAATGTAGAAGTTGAATTTTCTTCTGTAACCTCCCCCAAGACTTCGTTAGAAAGTGAGAGCTGAATTGTACTCAGTGCCTGCTCCTTCAAGTCTATCTTCTCTTCCTCTGGTAGAGTTTTTGGTAGCCTGCCTTCCTTTTCTAGTGCTTTCCATAGGCCCTGCTGTATTAGCATGGCCCGCATCTTCAACCCCCATAAGCTGAAATTTTTGCCACCATTAAATTTCTCAATCTCGTACTTGGCTCCAGATGCCATCACGATTAAACCAATTTCTCAAGAACTAACCACTGCCGTAGCTCTGATACCAGTTTGTTGCAACAAATTGCTTGAGATTTTGGTTAACCTACTTCAAGATTAAGAAATTAATGGAGTAAAAAAAATGCACCACCATAAGAAAAATAGAATTTACATGGTTCTGCTCCAATTTAATTGAGTCTACGTCCACGGGCACTCATAAGAAAAAATTCACTATTAAAATAGGGAGATACAATTTGTGATACTCTAAAAAAAATACACAATCTTTAAGTACACCCAAATCTTATTCACAGTATTTTTGAATGCGAGACACACTTAAAAAATATGAGACACACTCAAAAAACACACTTAACAAAGTAATTTTAACCACTCTGTTCTTACTCACCCTCATCTAAAGCACTCACAAAACTCTTGTATTTTCTAGAGCTCACTTTGCTTTGGATTGCTCTCTTGGTTGCTTTGCCGAATGGCCAAATGGCTTTTACAGCCAAAATTCCACTGCCCAAAATTAATGAAATGGGTTGCAAGGTCAAAATTCAACGATGGACAATAAATGCAATGGCCTTCAAAGTCTTAACCTTTAATTTCATGGATACATGGAGAAGCAAAATCCATTTATGTCAAGATTTTTGGCTGCACCATCTTGCCAAATAACCACACTTTCAACTCTGCACTTTGCATGCATTTTCAACACCTTTTTGACTGCCACAAGATTTCTTATGCAACGAAATTTTAAAGGCTGAAATTTGCATGCTTTTTCAACCACCTTGCAGAACCCACATGCAGCAACAAAAGGTAAGTGATGAACATACTTGTAACAACTCTATGCACTAAAATATCCTTCGGGGAAGTAAAATTTCAATCCTCCCGCCTACATGGCAGCAACCATAGGAAAGTAATGTTAGTGAAAGAAAATACCTGGATAGAAGTAGAAATTAGCATCTAGTAAATTTTTTGCATGATGCACTGCTAAAGTAGGGCGTGACATAACAACAAATCAAATCCGGATCATATTCAACTACTTGAATCACTTTTCACATCACTAAAATAATCATTTAACGAATTCTATGTTAGATATGATTACTTTGGTAATTAGATCCAGTTTGTCATCTGGACAACTTTGTATTGCTTAACACATGCAGTTCTCTATGCCAAAAAACTAAATGAGGATTTGACGCACCATCTTTCCTTGAACAACACTTTAGCGTAGACAAATCCTAACTGCATTAATTGAAAGCATTAAGGTATCTACCTACCTACAGTTCAGCATAGATCAATCCTAACCCCCCATTAAAGTCTTGAGGTAACTATCAATGTTGTCTACATTAAAACATGGTACAATTTCAATCAATGGGTACCAAAGGAACTTTAGGCTATGTTTGATTCAATGGAATTTCTATTTGTTGGTCAATGAATGAAAATAAGATAAAATGAAGTGCTTGACACTTTAGGAATAGGGTGGGAAATGTTGCTTATTATCCTTTTTAGATTTTGGAATGTGACAGGAATAGTCATTACTATATTCTCCACAGGTTTTAAAAATTCCTATCTCATTCACTAATTTAAAAGAAAATATCCAACCTTATTTTTATCTTCTAGACTTTGAAATACCCTTCTTTATTTTGCCTTATTTTTACATATTGAACAAGGAATAATCATTCCATCCAATTGAACATAACCTTAGTTTCTGAAACAATATATGAAAGAAAAAAAAAAATTGATTGTACTTCAATAAATTGTGTTAATCACTATGCAGCTTTTATAGGCCAAATCAGTATAATGGCTAAGACGGACCATTTTGTATTATAGTCTAAACAAAATAATTAAAGGGAAGCCATCTTATCAAATAGAAAGATAAACAAATAAAAATAACGCTTTAAAACAGACGTTTGAAATATACCTCTGCAGATTTTATATTGGCATCACTGATCATTTAGTCTCCCCACAGCATCACCAACATAATAGATCTACAATGCAGGAAAATATAACTTTTGTCATATCATTGTTCTTATCTTA